AATTATTATATTTTAATAAAATTAATATCTAACTTAAATTGCGATTAAATTGAAGACCAAATTAAAATTATTTTTTTCATTTCATTTGATAATAAAAATAAATAAGGATAAACTATATATTTAGTGTCTAACTATTCATGTAATTTTGTTTCAATCACTCAATTATTTTTAAAAAATTAGATCTAATGTTATATTGTAATGTGAAATTTAAAAACTAATGATTATATTATATGTCATCAAAATATAAAAATATATTATTATTAAAAAATTAAAATAATAATAAAAATAAGAAGCAAGAAGCTGTGGAACATAAGAGATAGGAAAGTGGCATTGGAAATGGATAATCTCAAGGTTGTAAGGTACCTTAGCCATATGAAGAGTGAGGTTGTATTTTTCTCCAAGTATTTCTAAAGGACACACTTTTTCTCCTTTAAAAAATATCGCTTCACATCTTAGCTATGACTGATTAATGGTTTTTAGTCTAAATAAAAAAGGCATAAACCCTATGGTTTCTATGGTACCATAACTTCGATGGTAAATAAATTATTATTTTTTATGATTTTGGATTCGAGCACAAAAAATATAATGAATATGAGCGTTCAATCTTAAAAGAATAAAAATTATTGTTGAACAAATATTATATTGTAACTAAATGAGAATAATCAAAAGAAAAAAATTTAAATAAAAAATAAAAACCACAAATTGTTAATTTATTCACTTTTTCATCCCATCCAAATCATTATAAATATTCACCTTAATCGACACATCAACCATTTGTAATATTAAATTTATGTTAAGTTTAATTATTTTTTTTAATTTGGATTTTCTGAATTAGTAATTTTTGAATCAAACCAAAAACCAATAATTAATTTTGTTTTGGTGTTAGTAAAAACTGTTCCGGCGAGATGTCAAGCAGATGTATTATAGTTGATCATACTTGGTTATACTATGAAATGATTTTTGTTATAATCGGAGAAGGAATATGGCATATTCCGATGAAGATTGATGGAGTGGGATAGATTGATGAAGAAGAATAGTAAAGTGGATAGTGAAAGATTTGGTGGGTTCTAGGGATTGCCACAAACGTCAAGGAAAAGCTATAGGTAGATTCCATAGGGGCATTAGCAGTCAAAAACATATACGACAAATGGGACCCATCTCTGACATGAAAACTACTTGGGGGAGGAGCCAAGAGTCGCAGCAGCTTTTGCCTCTTTTGGTCTCTCTCTTTCCAACCCAAACTACAACACTGGAAACAAACCACCACCTCCACATGCTTCATGCCTTTGCCACCACAGCTGGAACCTATTTCAGCCTTTCTATCACCTTATTATTCATTAACTGCATTTTTAACCAACATTTGATGCCTTGGAACCTTCGTGTTTTCCAAGTTCAATTATAATGGTTAGACGTTAATAGTAAAACGGATATAAAAGACTGATTAAACTCTTGCCGTTCAATATTGTTAGCTCTAGGTTGGGATCTACTTTTTACCAACCATATGGGCAGATGGGGCGGGGCGCCCATCATAAACGGGAAAAAACAAAAGTTAAAGGGTAAACTACTCTAATGGTCACTAATGTTTGGGTAAGTTTTCGTTCTCACCACTGATGTTTTAAAAACTATAAATCGGTCACTAACGTTATTGTTTGTTACAAATTGGTCACTCGTTGTTAACATGCATGACGGAAAGCATACGTGGCCTGTTAACAACAGTTAATAGGCTTACCAGGATGGTATAATTACACAAATAGTCTATGTTATTTATATATTCTTTCAATTTGATCATGGTTTTAATAAATTAAAATATATTTATTTTTTAATTCTTATAGATAATGATATATTTTTATACAAAATAATTAAATATTTAAGTCCAACAACTTTAAAAAAAAGGAAATCAAAAATTTAAAATTAGTTATAAAAAATTATTTTTTTTAGTGTTAGGATAAACTATTTTTAAACTTACCCAAGACTCGTCATTAATGTTTTTTTTTCACTTCATTTTTTTCTTCCCAAAACTTTTTTTCAATAAATAAATATTAATATTAAAATCTTGTTTGTGAAGAATTTTTTTCACTCGGTGCATACATTTTTTTAAAATTAATTTTATTAAGTCTTTCATTTTCTCAACAGTCTTATAATTTAATTTGTCATTAAATCTTTTAAATTAAATTTTATCACAACATAAATTGTAAATTTAATTATTATTATTGATATGATGAAAATTTAATAAACACATAGGTCGTGAAATTGTTTAGGGAATGAACCGAACTGCATCCGAAGTGACTCGTGATGATATCGTAGGATAATATTTTGTGAGCTTGTAGATTGGGTAACTAATGGAGATTTTCTTCTTCCGATAATCGTCAAGTTGAACTATTTCGTTTTAGATTCGTGACAGAATTCATTTAAACCACAAGAAGAAACAAATTGAATCCATATGAAGGATAGATTCGAGATAATAAAATTAAATCGGCCGAAGGTCTGGCTTCTGCCCGAGGAAAAACAAATTTTCAGCTCGTGTTATATCTGATGATACGATCGCATTTGCTTTAATCACGATGAATTCATTAGGTGGTGTAAATTAATGCCTATAGTTAATTCATTTTGGAGATCCGATTGCCTATATCTGCAAAAAAAAGCCATAGGGATTTCAATTTCTAACGCCTGTAAATATTTCATAAATAGATTTATGACGTCTTATTGAGAGCCCGTATTCTTGTATTTCATCGTGCTTTGGTATAATATCTTTTTGGGAAAAACATAAATGTGCATTCACAAATTTATCATTTCATGTTATGGAACTTTTGTCTGATATATTATTATTAGCTTGAATATTAGAATTTTATATTTTCAGATCACTTCAAGTAATATTAAATTAAATTTTTGGACAAAAATTTACTTGGAAATTAAGTTTGTTCTTCTTCTTCTTGAATCATGGAAGATGGAGGGGTTTTAAAACAATTTCACGACCTATGTGCTTATTAATTTTCCATCATATCAATAATAATAATTAAATTATAAGACTGTTAAGAAAATGAAAGACTTAATAAAATTAATTTTAAAAAAAATTATGCACCGAGTGAAATTTTTTTCTTCACAAATAATATTTTAATATTAGTATTTATTTAAAAAATAAAAAACAAGTTTGGGAAAGAAAAAAATGAAGTGAAAAAAACATTAATGACGAGTCTTTGGTAAGTTTAAAATTAGTTTACCCTAACATTAAAAAACGCTATTTTTTGTTTTTATAAATAATTTTAAATTTTTGATTTCCTTTTTTTTAAGTCGTTGGACTTAAACAATTAATTATTTTGTATAAAAATATATCATTATCTATAAGAATTAAAAAAAATATATTTTAATTTATTAAAACTAGGATCAAATTGAAACAATATATAAATAACATGGACTATTTTTGTAATTATACCATCCATGTAAGCCTGTTAACTGCTGTTAACAGGCCACTTGTGTTTTCCATCACGCCTGTTTACGGCGAGTGACTAATTTCTAAAAAAAACCACGTTAGTGACCGATTTGTAATTTTTGAAACATCAGTAATGAAAACAAAAACGTACCCAAACATTAGTGACCATTGAAGTAGTTTAACCAAAGTTAAAAGAGATCGGACTAAAGCGCTTCTCCTTTGTCCTATACCTATGAGGAGGGTTTTTGCTTCCCATTCTTAAATGGGATACAGCTTTGGCCACTCGTACGTCGCATTTTAGCAATGCCATCTTAAAAAAATCACAAATACTTTGAAAAAGAGACATTTTAATTTCTACATTCAAGAGCTTCCGGTTTTGCAGACAAATCAGCGGCTGTCACATGAAAGAAAACAAAGGGAACTGTTTGGTAGAACCATCGAATATGGACATTGAACGGCCGGCCTTTATGGAGCTGCCTAGGCCTGTAAACGAACCGAACGCACACGAACGATAGTATGTTCATGTTCGTTCATTTAATAAATAAATGAATATAAACGAATACGAACATAAACGAACAAAATTTTTTTTTGTTCATGTTTGTTTATTAAGGAATATAACTTGTTCATGTTCGTTCATTTAATAAATAAACGAACATAAACGAACACGAACATAAACGAACATGAACATAAATGAACACGAACATAAACGAACATAAACATTGGAGACCCTACCTAGGAGTGTAAATGAGCCAAGTCGAGCTCGAGTATTGCTGAGCTCGACTCAAACTCGAAAACTTTCAAAGTCAGCCCAACTCAACTCGAAAACACGAACATAAGTATTGTTGGTGGCGCAATCACATAGGGTTCCGACGCAGTGAATGTGACGGTGCTGGGTATACAGCTTATGGATCGTTCAAAAAGAACTAAACCATGTTAATATTGTTGGGTTTTCCAAATAAAATTGGGTTAATTATGGAGTTGGTCATCAGAATATCAGATTAATTAATATTTTTAAGATACTTACAAATTGGTCACCAAAATTGATTTAAGAAGATTGGGTTAAATATAAATAAACGAACATAAACGGACATAACCGAACGAACATAAACAAACATAACCAAACGAACATAACCGAACGAACATAAACAAACATAACCGAACAAACATAACCGAACGTTCACGAACGTAAATGAACGAACGAGACCTATGTTCATGTTCGTTCATTTAATTAAACGAACACAAAATCTTGTTCATGTTCGTTCATTTAATAAATAAACGCACATAAACGAACTTCCCGCCGCACGGTTCATGAACGGTTCGCTGAACGTTGAGTTCATTTACAGGCCTAGAGCTGCCATTTGAATTTTCAAACAGCTTTCCATTAGCGAAACGTTTGATTCGAATTCAACTGGATACTATTGTCTAAACTGACAGGCTAAAGCACAGTCAATTGAGAAAACAAAGCAGCTTATGATGCATATAGAGACCATAATTTGAGATACCTACTTTCTTTTGTTACCATATTATATAAATTTTACACCAGACTTTGGCTACTTTCCATTGCTGAAGCATAAACTAATCATTATATATAAATTACAAAACTTTAGCTAATCTATTCTTTCACCAAGAATTTTAAGAGCTTTATGATTTTGGGTGACATCATTGATTTTACAGCCCTGTGAAGTACCATTGAAGCGTGGGAGCTTGATCAACTGAGAGGAAATTATAAGGTTCCTCAGGTGTAAACACACATTGCTCTTCCACTTTCACTAACTGCGGTTGGTACATATTACCCAGAATCGTACTCGTGTCCAATGGTAGAAACCAGTGATGATTCGATGAATCCGAAGATGAGCAATATCCATTCATCTGCAAAGAAGAAGAAGATGATATCAACAATTGAGCATTTCCATTCCTTTCTTCTTTGACAATTCCATTGGAATCATCATCATTTTCACAGAAACCATGGTCTTTGATTTGCTGTGAAAATTTTGAAGAATCTTCTTTAACCGACTGGCTGCTGCTTTCTGACTTCTCTTCTTTATACTTAGCTTTCAGTTCCATCAACTGCAATTTATCATCCAAAATATCATATTAAACTTCAAGAATTTCAACTTGCTGAAAGATGGGATTTTAGTGAATAATTTTATACCTCTGCAGTTAAATCTTGTTTCTCTTGTTCAAGTTTGTCGTAATCAAGCTCGAGAGCATCATATTTGGATTTAAGGACAACGTACTCTTTCTCCAACTGCTTGGTCTTCCAACGGGCACGGCGATTTTGGAACCAGATAGCAACTTGCCTTGTCTGAAGCCCTAATTCTTCAGCTAATCTCACCTTTCTCTCTGGGTCTAACTTGTTTTCCAACTCGAAATTCTTCTCCAAGGCCTTGACTTGATTGAAGGATAATCGCCTTTTCTTCTCAGTAGCTTGATCGACTTCTTCTAACCTATCTTCTTCCTCTAAATCATCTAACAATGCTTGGAATTCCCTGCTGTAAATTTGCTTCCTCTTTGAATTCATCTCCTCTACATAATCAACAATTTCAACTCAGTAACATGTTCCGCACATGTATATGTATAAACTATTTGATTTTATAGAGAAAAAAAACAATGTATGAATGCAGATAAAGTAATGTTGAATTTTGCATGTACCTTTTGGTGGGATGATGAAATTCAAAGCATCCTGGGAACCTGAAGAACTGGGCTGCTTCATGATTAAACCGAAAAGCAAGAACCTAAGCTGATCTTTTTCTAAGGAACTCTGTTTTTGGTTGGCGATGGAGGGTTTATCTTTAAAGCAGGTTAACTGTTTTTGGTCTGCTAATCTGACAACAATTCTTTCTTTCAATGCTCCTCGGTTCTCAGCTTCAACTATTTGGAAAAAATAATGAAGGTGAAATCATTGGTCTGTCAAGATTTTATGGAGAAATATAACCATAAGGTTTCAGAATAATAATAATAAAACTCTCCTCTTTTGTTTTTTTGAATAGGGAAAAAAAGAAACTCTCATCTGAATCAAAGTTAAACTGCAATAGTTAGAGGGTGAATTGTGAGAGGAACATGCTTCATTGGGAGTTGTTATATAAAGACTTTAAGCTAATGTGAACTACTGTAGTGATTTGAAATTTGTATTTTTAAAATTATTATTTTGTTTTTCCAAAAAAAAAAAAAAACTAGCCAGTGGTACATTTAGTTTTTATGGGTAAATCATATATGTAGTCACTCAATTTGCACAATAATTTATTTTGGTCTTTAAATAAAAATTTACAAATTTGTCAACGACATTAGACAATGTTTGCGCTTTAGTCACTCAAATTTTATTTTAATTTTAGTCTTTCCCTTTAAATTTATTTTATCTATTTTTATTTTAGTCATTCACATTAGATTCATTATCATTTTAGTCACTCATATTACATTAAGTATAACATGAGTCTTATGTGAATTTTTTATCCTAATAAACAATTTAAATATTTTTTGAGCCAAAAATTAAAATAATTTCATAGAAATTGACTTGATCTATTATTTTTATTGGATTGATTGAGTTGCTTTATTGTCCTTTAGTTAGTAAAAATATTAAACATTTGTATAATAAATTTTATTGTCCATTTCTCTTGATAATGAATATCATGATAATGCTAAATTTGTTAGACTGTATGAAAACCTTATCAAGAAATGTGTGTAGTGTAGCAATTTAAAGATTGAGATATTGATAATTAAGAACCATATGATCCAATCAAGCCTTGTTTCCTTTTTTTTTAAGATATTGATATGAAGGATAGGACGAGAACTTTCATCTTAAAAAAAATCTCACATAAAGCAAATAAGGAATTGAAACAATAGAATGCATTAAGGAAGGCTGAATAGGAGCAATTTAAGAAATGTGAGATCACTAAGAGCGAAATTCTTAATTGTATGGAAATCAATTTTATCGGGGGGGGGGGGAGACAATTTACTCATTTATAAGGATAAAAATCTACAGAAAATTCCCCACTTTAATGTAAGTAACTAAACAACAATAAAATCTAAAGTGAGTGACTAAAATGACAACAAAATCTAAGGTGTCTGATTAAAATATAAAGAAAATTTAATGCGAGTGATTAAAATGGAAGAAAATCTAACATGAGTGATTAAAATGCAAACAATGTATAATGGCGGTGATCAATTTGCAATTTTTTTATTTTTGGTGGTCAAAATGAAAATTTATGAAAGTTTAATAGCTAACTGTGTAATATAGCCTTTTATCTATAAATGGTTATAAACTTGTATGATGAACCAACTGCATATGGGTGATCGTTGTTAACTCGTTAGGAAAAAAAATGCAGATACAAATAAGAGCTTAACACTGATTTATTAGCAAGACTATAAATACACATACATATAGGCATAGAAAATAAAGGTTTTCACTTTGGCACGTCCATATTGAAAAATGAATTTTATATACATATAGACTATAAGTACACATACACATAAACCAGTAAGTAAATAAAACTAAGTCATTCGAAGAGAATTCATCTAAATGGGAATGAACTTTTATATTTAATCACAAAATATGATTATTTTTAAATGAAAATTTTAAATTTATATAAACTATACTGGGATAGGATATAACCATATAAACATCAAGTGGAGAAGAAGACAAATAAAACGTACGTTTTTTCAATTAGTAATAATAATTGGAGTGATGACTTTTCAATCTGAACTCCCTTAATCACACTCCTAAAGAGACGTGGAGCCCTGAAATGGGTCCCCGAAAGGTGTCAGTTTCGCATTGGATTTTGGGTTATGAAATTGCTCATGTACGGATGCTGCACTAATTTTCATGGTTTATTTTTCAAGTTTTCCCTTTAAAGGGGTCCCGACTTCTGTATCTCAACCAAACCTATCATCATTCGTAGGTCGTGACTTTGATCAACTCGTAAAGAAACGACTTCACAATAGTGGACACTGTCGTGTTCTTCTGCAACTCTTCATCCCTAATCAACAATTTATGCAACATTGATTTTATCCAATAACGTTGCCATCGATGATGAACAAAAGAAATCGCAATGACAACAGTGTGAGGGTGGACACTCAAATCTGAATTTTTGTTAGTAATTATTTACTTTACTGATGATATCCATACTGAAATATTATTTGTGTCTATTATTATAAATAGTTTATGTTGTAAATATATGTGTATATAGTCTCAAAAATAATTTTAGATATGTCGTTAAATAGAAATGATAGTGTTGGCCGACCTTTATGTGCTGGTAAATAACAGCTAAGTGAGAATTCAACATCTGTCAAGTCTAAAACAGGTCGGTCGTTAGTGTAGCCCAAACCAATACCTCCCACCGGCCACCACCATTGCAATCAGTCTTTTTAAAGGTGAAAACGTGGTGGATGTATTTCTTAACAGATCTCATCGACTCTAAGCCAGAAAGAAGCTATGGGATAAACAACTTTTGTGCGGGACACTATATTTCAGCTTCAAGGGGTGATGGCAATGCCAAGATCTCAGCAGTTGGGGGTCCAAATCTCAAATTGAACAACTCTATCTGTTCACATGGCATTTGTAGGAACTTTGTTTTATCGGTGTATTCTTTTGAAAGGAGCTTGCTTAGCTATATGGGACACAATTGGATTGTTTCAAAACCGTGGCTAACAGACAAACCTTCACGTACTATTTATGATTTCTATTTGTAGAAAGGAAAATGATGGCCATGTCATGCTTTAGTTTCGTGTAAGGCACAAACACATTAACCCCTACAAGAAAAAGGGGCATTCTTTTTAGTCTGATGCAGCTAAAATTGGAACCCAATTAAGCACAGATTAATGTGGTAATTAAAGGGTAAACAAGTATAAGGATTTGAAAGTAGTAGGCTTAGAGCCATAATTTAGTGCCATACTGTCATTTTTTATGGGCAGGGTAAAGAACAAGAAATGGTGTTTATAGACTCGAGGACCCCCTAGAGGGGACTTGATGCTTTATTTCTGATTTTTAAGAGATGTCCAAAAGGATTGGATGGAAAAGAAAGTGGCACGGAATCTTGCTTGACTTCATGCTCTCTAATCTAATTTGATCTGATTATATATATAATTATGGGCCAAAGTATATTTCAAAAGGGTGTGCATAATTGCATGAAAAAAGTGTTGTGAACATGGCAGAGTTCGCACTTTTTTTCAAGTGCATTTTTTCCAAAGGTTTGAATAACATTGAGAAGATAAATTACTTAATTTTGCAAAAAAGGGTCCCCTCGCTTTACAACTGGAAAAGTTGAATTGTGGTATGTTTTTCCCCCTCCATATTCCGGATTTCTTTTCACTCTGGTTGATGCTGGCTTATTAGCAACGTGTCTTTGAAGAAAGGACAACGAGCTCAAATGTTGCACTATTTGAGATTCAAATATTTGCACCTCTCTTTCCCCTATCAAGTACTATGGCAAGTCCTTCATTTTCATTGTACTTGTAATCAAATGAAAACAACAATGGCGTTTCGCAATTCCTGCACCAATTAGATAAAGTGCAAAATGTAAGTTTGGGTCCATCGTCTTCATGGATCGAATTGATTGGTATTGTTGTCTAGCTTCAAATACGATGATGACTGGCAGCATCCCACATGAAGAAAACTGGCCTGCTTTATTGGGTATTAATGGTTAACATCTACAGTGAAAACGAAGAAAATGAGCCAAAAACCAGGAAACGTTTCAACTCTAATGCGTACGGTTATTGAAAGAGAAGCGAGTTGGGAAAAATCACTCACTCACGCCACTCCCACTTTTAGAGTTGGTAATTGTTGAAAATTAAAGAACAAGTTGGGCTGCTAAGTAGCAGCCGGCTGCTAAAACAAATTGGGGAGGGGGGCTGCCCAAAATATTTTTATTTTTAATTACAATATTAGTCCCTAAGTTTTAACTATAAATACCCTAGCTCATTTAGCTTCAAAATCATCCCAAAATCTTCTAGTTCTCTCTCAATTGTGTTGTGTAAACACCTGTAAATTTTCTCTTAGTAAAAGATCTGCAGCAGTCCGGAGACGTAAGCATAAATTGGCTGAACTCCGTTATCAAATTTCGGGTATTATTTTTCCGCTTTTATTTCGCATTCTCACTAATCTGGTTATAGGGAAATTACTTGTACTTGGTTTTATTTCCTAACAACTGGTAATCAGAGCTTTTGGTTGTGAATTTTGTCAATTTTCTGTGAGGTTACTATTCATTACTATTCACATGAATAGTGAATTTCGTGAATAGTGAAATTCGGTCGGCGATACGAGTTTGTCGACGGAGGTGTTCTAATACACGGCGGTTCGCAGAAATTATCAGAAACGATCCAAACGAAGCCAGATTCGAGTGGGAGCGATGGCTGCAGACGAAGGGAAGGTGAAAATTGAAAAGTTCGATGGTGCGGACTTTGGCTTTTGGAAGATGCAGATTGAAGATTTTCTGTATCAGAAAAATCTATATCAACCTCTTTCAGGAAAGCAACCAGAGGGCATGAAGAATGAAGACTGGGCTCTTCTCGACAGACAAGCCCTCGGAGTTATCCGACTGACGTTGTCCCGAAATGTTGCTTTCAACATAGCAAAGGAAAAGACCACGGCAGGTCTTATGGCAGCTCTCTCCAGTATGTATGAGAAGCCATCGGCCTCAAACAAAGTTCACTTGATGAGGCGATTATTCAATTTGCGGATGACGGAAGGGGCATCAGTGGCTCAACACCTGAATGAACTCAACACAATCACAACCCAGTTGAGTTCTGTGGAAATTGAATTCGATGATGAAGTTCGAGCTTTAATTCTCTTATCATCTCTACCAGACAGTTGGAATGCTACTGTTACAGCAGTTAGCAGCTCGTCGGGAAATAGTAAATT